TTCCCGCGATATTTGAGCGCAGTGTGAGGTGTCTCAGTGTAGGCAGATGTGAGCATTTATTCACTTTTCCTGTGTGAGCACTTTAACTCCCTTAAGCATGAGGGGCAGGAAGAGAGAATGGAGGAAACATTAGCAAATCAAAGAGTGCTACCCTTTAACCCCTCTCCATCCTTCTGATCAAAGTTAGCCTTGAACTCCGACCTTTGTGTAAAACAGAGAAAAAAATAAAACATACATGTGAAACCGAAGAACAAAGCACTCTGTCATTTTGGAAAGGCCAGATATTCCCTAGGTACTTTTTCCTCACGGAACCAGAATATAAATTATGTTGTCTTCACAAGTCCCCTCCAGTGTGAGTTTCTCCTCCATTCATTTCCGTTTGTGTGTCTCTCAGTGTGTGTATACAGTAAAGGCCTTCAACAGAACAGCCAGGTTAAGGTCAAGTGTCACAGCAAAGTATCATTTTATTCTCTTCCAACATAAATATTGATAAGGGTTCTGTTGTAATGTGCATCTAATCAAAAGTAGGTCTACTATCAATCAATTTAATTCTGATTTAAGGACAGTTTAGCCAAATATTCTAAATGACCCCCTACTGTTTTTCCCAAAATAACCACTAGATAAAGTCAGGAGAAATTTTTGTTGTAACTATAGACTAGACTACGTTGGACAAGAGTGATGTAGGAGTATTCACCATAAAGCTTACACTGGTGATGTTCCTGAGAGAAAACAGATTTCACAGTAAGTGATTCATTCATGTTTTGAAGAACATCACAGTTATATGATATGAGAATAGCAAGGCCTGTATATAGGGAGTATGTGTTAAGACAAATATAACTAAATATCCAGAATGACATCTTTTTTTTTTTTAAACCTAGTCTGTGGAGTAAAATGCCCCCAGGGGGCATGACTTAATTACTGTAGTTAGTTACTCTGTTCTGAACATCAGATCCTTTGTTTTTCCATCAAATTTATTCTAACTAGTTGGTTGAATAAAAATATCTAGACTTTTTTTTTTTTTTTAATTACCTCAATTTAGCATCTGGTAGCTAGTTAGCTAGCCAGTTAGCATCAGCTAACAATATTTTTCAAATAGGCTATTATAATTTTGTAATTGATAATTATTTATTATATTCTATTTCATTTTAAGCTCAACCTGCCTGTACTCTCATTTTGCTGTAAATGTATAAAGCAAATTGCTTTGTCAGACTGGGGGCATTTTACCCCACCTTTGTTATTTGTTATCTAATAACATGAGAACTGGACATTTTTTCACACTTGGTTTATAATTTATGTCATTATCACTAAAACTATGATAACTATTCTGGAAACATTTCATTTTTGTTTCACAGAAACAAATGAAACAGTCCTTAAGGGGGGCGTTTCCCCCCACTCTACCCTATTTACTCAGAATGACTGTCAGTTACCATTTACTTCCATTTTATGGAGAAAAAAAATGCAATGAAAGTTAATTGTAACTGAGTCTGTCAGTCCCTTGCATTCTACCTAACATCTCTTTTCGTTTCACTTAAAGGGGTCATATGATGCGATTTCAATTTTTCCTTTCTCTTTGGAGTGTTACAAGCTCTTGGTGC